ACAGTTATCAAAAGAGTGATTGTAACATACGTGTTTAGTGAAATGAGATCCAGCAGCAGGTCTAACAGCAGCTGTAATTTTGAAGACATGATCAGCGTAGATGACGTTTTGAGAGACCCGTAACAATTGGCTTGTGATGTGAACACATTTGTGATTTCTACTGCCCGTGAAGTCGCGGGCACGGCTAAGGGCACTGCCTAGATTTACGGCGGACAGAACCGCCACAATTTGATCAAAGGTTCATAGCGCTGAAGATGCAATTTCCTCCCCCGCCCTGAGTTTGTGAATTCTCTCCATGAATCCCTTGGGGACTGGGCACCCCAGGTTAAGAGCCCCTGGCCCTGACCCTGCCTGGTGGCCCCAGCTCCTCCTCAGCCCCTTGGCCAGATGCCAAGCAGGTCCTAGCCAAGCTCACCCCTTTAGCCCCTGCCTCACCATCCGCAGCCTGGCTGCCTCCCTGCTTCTACCCTCGGATCCCCCTCCTCAGCACAGAACGAGGCATCCTCCTCAGAGCCAGCCCTGTGGCTTTCTGCTCTGCTGGTGGACAAATGGCAGAACCAGTTTCCAACATGCTATCACGTGAGGCAGCTCCGGGTCCCCCAGGCAGGGAAGAACCCCACCACCACCAGACAATGGTCCTTCTCTCCAGGATACAGGCAGGGAGGCCTCCGCATCCTGTCACCTGGACATCACCCCTTTGCCCAAATCAGGGCTTTCCAGGCCCTTTTTGTCCTTCTGGACAATCTGGGGAGACACTGAGTCTTTTCCTTAGGATCTTCTCTTTCCTAAATTCCAGACATTGTGAGGCCATACATGGGGGAAAGGGCATTTTTCCCCCCTCCCTTCATGGGTGATATTTAATGAGCACCTACTATGTGCTGGGCACTGTCCTAGGTGCTGGAACCGTAAATAGTGAACACGGTAGTCAAAGCTTCCTTCTTAGAGTCTTTATCCTATGAGGGAAGGCAGATTAAGTAAATAAATTAGAATTAATCGTATGCTCTGGGGTGATCATTGCTATTGGGGGTGGGGGATACAAGGTACGGGAGGCAGGGGGTGCTGGAGTCCGCCTCACAGGGCAGGTGACACTTGAGCAGAGGCGCAGAGGGGGAAGCCGTGTGTATGTGTGTGTGTGTGTGTGTGTGTGCATGCAGGGAAAAGTGTGGCAGGGGAACAGCCGAAGCAAAGCCCTGAGGAAGGCAGAGCCGGAGGAATGAGCAGCAGGGCAGTGAGGCCAAAGGGGCCAGGTCAAGCCAGCCTTGGGCCACTGGAAGGACTCTGAGCTGGGAGACATTGAGGGGTTTGCATGGAAAAGGACACGGTCCTGGTGCACACCCGTGGGGCAGGGTGAGGAGGGGACAGGGGAGAGGTGAAGGCTCCAGGGCAGGGACAAGTGGCTGGACGCTGGATCTCCTGGTTGGACGGGTGGGTGCAGAGTGAGACCGGCTACTGCAAGGACACCGGAAGCGCATTCATTTCCTGTGGCCGCCGAAGCAAATACCACAAACCGGGTGGCTTCGAACAACAGAAATCTATTTTTTCCCAGTTCTGGAGACTAGAAGTCTGAAATCAAGGTGTTGTGGGTTGAAATCAAGGTGGTGTGGGTTGAACTGTGTCCAGCCAAATTTACTATGTTGAAGTCCTGAACCCCAGCACCTCATGAGGTGACCCTATTTGGAAATGGAGCCTTTTTTTTTTTTTAAGATTTTATGTATTTATTAGAGAGAGAGAGAGAGAGGGAGGGAGAGAGAGATAGAGAGAGAGAGAGAAAGCACAGGCAGGGGGAGCAGCAGGAAGAGGGAGAAGCAGGCTCCCTGCTAAGCAAAGAGCCCGATGCTGGGCTTGACTCCAGGACTCTGGGATCATGACCTGAGCCGAAGGCAGACGCTTAACCGACTGAGCCACCCAGGTGCCCCAGAAATGGGGCCTTCAAAGAGGTAATTGGGGGCGCCTGGGTGGCTCAGTTGGTTGAGCGACTGCCTTCGGCTCAGGTCATGATCCTGGAGTCCCGGGATCGAGTCCCGCATCGGGCTCCCTGCTCGGCGGGGGGTCTGCTTCTCCCTCTGACCCTCTTCCCTCGCGTGCTCTCTCTCATTCTCTCTCTCTCAAATAAATAAATAAAATCTTTAAAAAAAAAAAAAAAAGAGGTAATTGGGTTAAAATAAGGCCATTAGAGTGGGTCCTAATCCAATCTGTGTCCTTTGAAGAAATTAGGACACACATATGCACAGAGGACAGGGGGACAGAGGGGCACAGCCATCTACACGCAGAGGGCCCTCAGGAGACATCATACCTTGATCTCTGACTTCGAGCCTCCGGGACTATGAGAAGATAAATGTCTGTTGTTGAAGCCACCCGGCCGTGGTGCTTCGTGGCGGTGGCCCGCACAGGCTAACCTGGGAGAATCTGTGATGTGCCTCCCAGCTTCTGGGGGCACCGGCCACCCTTGGTGCTCACATCACCCCGTCCCTGTCCCCCGTTGCATGGCTGTCTTCCCCGTGTGTCTGTCTGCAACTCTTCTCTTTTTATAAGGACACAAGTCATTGCGTTTAGGATACACCTTATCTCAGCGAGACCTCATCTTAATTTGATCACATCTGTAAAGACCCTGTTTCCATATCAGGGCACATTCATGGGTCTGGGTGGATGAATGTGGAGTCACTATTCAACTCAGTACAGGTGTGTGCATCCATGTTTCCTTGGAAACCCACTTTAATCCCATCAGGCTCAAATGCTCAGAATCCTTCCAGAAAACAATCCACGATGTCCAAGTTGACAGAGTGGGGGACTCCACTAAGTCCTGGACCAAGCTTCTCAAGGGAAAAACGGCTCTTCTCAAGTCCAGGTAAAAATACATCCAACTGATTCTACCCTTGACCCCGGTGGTCATAGGAACCCACAGCCTCTCATTGGCACTGTTTGGGTCCCTCCTAGAAGGGCAGGCTGGTGAGAATACCTACCCCGGCCCCTCATCTATTAGGAACACATTAAAATGACCTAAAGCAAGAACAGTGCCCCCCTCCACCCTCTCAACTTTCTCCAAGGTCTCATTTCATCCTCTAACCAGTTATCCGAGGCACAAGGGTCCCCTGCAACACTCAGGTGCCTTCTCGCCCCAAACCCTGACACACTGATCTCTGGCTGGGGGTAGGGGGCCCAGTGGAAAGGTGTGTGGCAGCATCCACCCCACATGCTGATGCTGAAGTCTGAGAAAGTTCCCCAAATGCCTTGGCTCCTGAAAAGTAGGGCTTCCCAGAGTGGTACAGCCAAGGTGGGATTGGGGTCCATTCCCCCCACGCTACAGCTTGAGGCTTGGGGCACACCAGCTAGCTGGGCTGGGTGGTGAGGGTGACAGGAGAGCAGAGGCAATTAAGAAAAAAGCCCAGATCTCTTGTAGAAGAAAAGCTTAGGAAGGAAGCCGACTCAGAGGCATGTAACTCAAAGTGTGGTCCTTGGACCAGGAGCATCAGCGGCATCTCGAATCTTGTTAGGAACCCAGATGCCCAGGCCCCACTCCCGACCTCCTGAATCAAAGTATGTGGCTTGGCAAGACCTCTGGTGATTCTCAGGCACATCCAAGTTCAAGTGAGACCAGAGGCGCTCACCCTCGATGGTGCACCAGCACTCCTGTGGGCCTTCTGGGACCCAGGTGGCTGCCCCCTCTGCAGGTGCAGATTCAGGTGTGGGTGGGGCCCCAGGATCTGCATTTCCAAGTTCCCTGAGTGTAGCCTTCCTCCCGGCTCTGATCTAGCATCTGCCCGGGGAGCCACAGACTTGGCTACATGTTGGAGTCATGGGGGGACACCTGGACCCACCTCCAAGAGACCCCCCTCTGAGTCTGGTCAGTCTGCAATGCAGCCTGAGTGGACGTTTAAGGAGTGCTGGTCCAAAAGTCCGACTGGGACCTGACACCCCAGACAGCAGCTCCAACCACTTGCCAGAGAACACAGCGCGGATGCCCGTCCCCCCACCCCCAACCCCCCATGCACAGAAAAGAAAGAGACTCTGGCCCCCTGGCATCTGCTTGGCTATTTTGAGAGCACACAAGCTTTATTCAGCAATAATGGCAGTATTTCATGGGAATGGGCTGCACGACAGCGGGAATGCTGTTGTCTGCACAAAGTCTGAGAGCAAAGATTACGGCAACAGAGCTTCGCCCCCACAGCCCTGCCCCCTCCCCCCCAAACAGGCCCCCTTGGCTCCTCACGCTCCTGCACGGCTGTGCAGGGGGCCTCCCTGTGGTCTCTCTCCACGCCTGGACCGCCCTCTCCACCAGCTCTGCCTCCCCGGGGCCACTGGGCTCCCCCCTGCCCCAAGGGCTCCCTCCAGACCTGCCTCCTCCTCCTCCAGACCATGCAGAGGGGCAAGAACACCATCCCCCACAGAGAACCCAATTCCCCACTGGCTCGCTCCTCCTTTTCCTCAGTGGAAGTTAACAGGGTCTCAGGACAAGAAGGCACTCTTCATAAAGCCCTCTGCACTCACAGAGTGTTAGCCCTGCCCCCACCCCCACCCCCAGCAAGCCGGCAGGAAACAGGGTGTCCTTAGAATGGGCCCCAGGAGCCACAGGGACCGGTGCACGAAGGGGAGCCGCGGGGGGCCAAGTGGAGAAAGTCCCATGTCCTTTTAGTTCTAATTCAGGACCCAACAACCAATGTAACTGATACAGAGGACATCATCGGAGATGCCTGTGGGACACGTGTGATGTGTGTGCCTGCGTGTGTGCGTGCATGCACTTGTCTCTGTACGTATGACCTTTTGTGACGTAGCCTTAACCATTGGTGACCTTCCTCCCGGTTCTCTGACCTAGGCAGGCCACCTGGGGGAGGGAAGCTCGGACCCCAGACGGACGGCAGAAGTGCCAATATGGGAAGAATAGGTGTGGGGCAGCCAGGCACCCCTGGGAGAGAGGAGGGAGCCCGCTGAGCGTCGGGGCCCTGCTTGGGGCTCTTCAAAGGCAAGGCGTGGGGTAGGGGGGACTGGGAGGGGCTTGCAGCAGGGGCTGGACTGCACAGATGGACAGATGGTGGGGGTGTGGGGCTGAGGGGGGCTCATGGCGGCAGCTGGAAATACGGATGGATGGCCAGCAGGGTGGACAGCCCCGCACCCGCGCGCCCCTCCTGCTCGGCGGCTCGCCCTGTCCGAAGCGCCCAGCTGGCGGTCAGTTAACGCTGACACGGGATTGGGGGGCGCTCACACGGTGTACGTTTTGACGGATTTGTAGAGGGGAGGCAGCAACCCGTGGTTCTCGCGGACAACTTCCAGGTACTCCGAGGGAGTCTCCAGCAAGAAGGGCCCACAGCACATGTGGCAGCAGCACCGGACCCCGGCAGGCGGCTCCGGGTTCTTGTCAGACATGGGGGAAAAGTCAAAATCAGCCACCTATGGTGAACAAAACCCCACGGGTCAATCACCCGCCTGCCAGACCCCCGCTAGGTGGCCTCACGAGCTCAGCTGCCTGGCGGCTCACGGTGCTGCCCCGTGCCCTTGGCTTTTCTGCTCCCGGGTCCTCCCTCTTTCGGGTGCCCACCCCACCCCCCAGCACTGGGCACAGCTTCTCGGCAAGGGGTGAGCGCAGCAGTGAGTCAGATGGGAAGAGGCCAACTCAACGTGGTCCATCTATGAATGCATCTTGGGCACGTCGCCCCCAGCCCCAGGACCTCGCTCTGACATCCAGGCCCCCGCCAGGCCCCCCCTTCTCCAGGCAGGGCCCCGTGATCCAGCCTCCACCCTCCTGAGCACCCACCTCTACCGTCCTGAGCACCCACCTCTACCATGTCCTTCTGGTGAGCGGCATTCCGGAGGGTCATGTACATGATGAAGGCCAGCATCATGGTGATCAGTGTGGCACACGGGAAAGCAAAGACAGCCGGCTGGATACCTGGGAGTGAGACATGGTGAAGTCACGGGTCTGGGGAGCTGGTGGTGAAGGCCAGCTCTCAGACCGTGGTGGGGGACAGCTGAGTCAAACCCCACAAGAGCTATTATGTCCTTGGGTACCTGCATCCCAACGAGGCAACCCCAACAGGCTAACCTGAGTCTACAAACACCAAGTAGGGGTGTGTTAGGGTTTTAAAATATGTCCCCATGTTACTCGATGGTCTCTTTCAAGAGGTGCAGCTAAATCCCCCACCCCGAGTGTGGGCTGGATTTAATGACTTGCCCTAATGAATAGCCATGACCAGGCCATCAAAGAAATCACAGCTCCCTCCCCACTCTCTCTTGGGTGACTTGCACTGGAGACGGGAAGCCATGCTGTGAGGACACGCCACAGCCTTGTGACCTGTTGTAGCTGTCTGCACTCCACCAGCTCTAGGCCCCACCCCCTGACCCCCTGAGCCAGGAAGCTGCATGGCGGAACAGGGAGAACCCAGGGTCTGCAGTTAGGCGGTCCTGGGTTCGAACCCGGCTCTGACCCATGCTCCCTGATGCTGATGCTGACCCATGAGGCTGCTTCAGGGATGCCACGAGGGGAGGGGTGTGAATGTGCCAGGTGCACGGCAGGTGATCGGCGAGTGTGGGTCCCCCTCATCCCTCCCCCACCCTGCCCCTGGTGTAGACACCACCGTGTGCCGTGAGGTTCTGCTTCCCGGGAAAAGTCAGCGCTGATTACCTGGAATGCTGTGTCCTCTGCAGGATTCAGGGGGCCCCGAGGCACTCAGCGCCCAGGAGAGGCTGGGGGAGCAGGGCCCCAGACCCCCCATGGGGCCCACAAGGCCAGCCAGGGCCCAGAGTGGAGCACAGCGTCTGCCCAATGGCTCAGACAGGGACTGGGGAGACTGCTGGGGGCAGCAGTGCTCTTGTGGGTCCGACCCTGGGGACAAGTGCAGTTGGCGAGTTTTCCGTGTGTACCGTAAGAGCTGGGACCTGGCTAGGCACCTGAAGGACCATCCCTTAGGGTTCTCCTCTACATAAGGAAGTGTTTTTCTGGGGTCACAGAAGAGTCCCCCCCTGGAAAAGAAGGGTAGAACTTCACGCCATCATCAGCTAATCCTGTGACGGCTAGCCAGCGGCCGGGCCTGACGGTGACTCGGGGAAGGACATTCCGGGGGCGGCGGCCAGGGGTCCTGACGCATGACAGGAACCCCACTTCACACTTTCTGAGCAGCGCCTGCTCCCTGGGGGCTGGTTTTAGTGGTGACAACAGTGCCAGGCTCGGGGTGATGGCGGAGGAGGGCATTGTGATCGTGGGGGCCCAGCGGGGGAGTGCTCACGATGGGGACAGCGCGGCATTGGTAATACGTGGGAAAGGACACCAGGGACAGTGACGGTGGCAATGAGCAAGAGCTCAAGCCGTCTTGCTGCTGGGTGGCACGGGATCGACGGCCCAGGTCCAGATGGTGCCGCAAGGGCCGTGGTGAGTGTGCGCGGCAATGGCGGCAGAGCCGTGTGGTTAAGTTGGCCGGGGGTGGCCGCGCCGGCCGTTGGTATGGCTCGCGGTGCCGGCGTTGCAGGTGGTAGAACCGGGGGGTGCTAGGGCTGGCCGGGGCAGGTCTGGCCACGCAGTCAACCGTGTTGGCTGGGCCAGTAGGTTTGGTGACGATTCTCGTGTCGGCGGGTCGCCTCGCACGTTGGCGGAAGCGCGGGGTCACTTACTGGAGGGCCACACCTGGATCCTGTGGTACTGGTGCGTCTTACTGATGACGTTCTCAGCCCGGATGCTGAAGCAGTAGTCCCCAGGATCCCTGAAGGTGTGGGTCAGGTTGTAGGCCGTGCTGGCCACCGACATGGGCTGGCATTCTCCTTCCTCCAGCGGCAGGCACTCGGGCTTGAGACGCCAGCACACGGTCAGAGGGGGGCTGCCGGGAAGTGGGGGTGGGTTTTCAGCAATGGCCCAGCAGAGTGTGAGCACAGACCAAGGCTGAGAAGGGCCAGACAGCCATGAACCTAGCTGTCCTGGCCTCTGCTTCACCCCTTCCAGACCCAGGGAACACAATGGTAAATAAGAGATGCCTCCCCAGACCCCAAGGGGGTGCCAGGCTAGTGAGGCAAACAGGGATAGGCACGGAGTGCTGGATGAGGCAGAACGAGTGCTCTGGTGACACACAGGGTGTGCTGTGGAGGTACAGGGGACAGGTGGGTGCATTCTTAAGGAGGAAGTCAGGGAAGGCTTCTCGGAGGAGGTGTCATTTGAATAGGATCTGAAAGGATAAGTAGACTTTTGACAGGTTGGGAGGGGCGAAGGCGTTCCAGGTTACCCACCTGCCACAGCACAGGCTCCGAAGCTGGAAAACACAGGTCCATCTCAGCAATGCCGAGCAGGCAACCCCAGGCCCCAGTAAAACACACACTCCTGCCACCTCGGCCATCGGGTCTCCTAAGCCCACTCTTCAAGTGCTAAGCACCTGCCCCCCAAAGCTCCCTGAAAGCTTCAGAAACCTCCTCCAGCCCCACGGCTCATCTTCATCTTTTCTTGGCCACTTTGGTTGCTCCCCATCGAGCCTTGCTTCCCTGTCGTGGCCCTGTGTTGAGGGGTGGGGCCGATCCTCCCCACCCAAGTCCCTGCAAGGCTGAGCCTGGACCACCGACCTCTGCGGCTCCGTTCACCCTGGTGCAGAGAACATGCCTGGCTTCTCGGTCGCTTACTACATGCTCAGCCTAATGTTGTTCTTGCCAAGAGTTGGGCCGGTTCCTCCCCAAGATGGTTTGCTTTCTGGGGGCTGTGCAGAGGGCTTTTCACCTGACTGGTTCCTCACCTGCCTTTGCCTTGACGCCCACACTGCAGACAGCTCCAAAAGGCCCATGCTCTCTGCCCTGGACCTCGAGTATGGAGCCGTGCCCACAACTCTCCCACGGTTGCAGGGCAAGGTGGCAGAAGCTTCCACTGGCCCCCAAACTTGGGGCCCCGCAGGGGATGGAACTCTTAGGCTCAGGATCATCCATGGGAGAGTGGGCAGGGCAACGAGTCACCCACTGTGCACCCTGGGGTTCACTCACCTCCCCAGGAAGTTCAAGGTCACTGTCATCTTTTGGAAGGTCTGAATCAGGGTGGGCCCTAAGACCTGGATGCCTCGAAGGGTTTCTGAAAGGCAGAGAGGGCCCCATTAGACCTGGTGGCTGAGGACAGTGGTCTCAGAGCTCCTAGGGCTCGGGGCTGTGTGACCACCACCCTGTCAGGCTCTCTCCCGAGGTGGGGGTCGCAGGTCCATCCAGGGCATGCCTGGGTCCCGCCCCCCCCCCCAACAACCCGACAGCAGCAGGTGCCGGAGCTGCTCAGAGTGAGGATGCTGGATGAAGTGGAAGCAGGAGGGGCTCTGGTAACCAGGATGGAGGGCTAGCTCTGGAGAACCCCCCCTCCCCCACCACCTGTGCAATGTGGGGTAAGCGCCACCCCTGCCGCACGCACTGCAGCACAACTCAGAAATCTGCCGCAGCTGCCCAAGCACCCCCTCTGGCCAAAGTCAGGGGGAGGCAGGTTTGGGTGTTTCTTCTCTACAGGAGGCCAAGGCCGTCCCAGCCCCAACAGGCCAGTCCTTGACAGGACGCCAGTGTGGCCCGAGAACAAAGAGCCATGTGGACCCACCAGCCAGCCCACAGCACGGTGTCTGGCCACAGGCTCGGGCTCTGGGAGCAGGCAGGCCTGGGTTCAAACCCAGCTCTGCCACTTGGTGGCCATGTGACCTCTGCCATAGCCCCCAGTGCCCTCTCAGAAGTGGGGATAATGACCCTCGGCTCAGACGGCTGCCCGGGGGGATAACAAGAGAGGATGTGCATCCAAGCTCAGCCCAGTGCCCACCTGGAGCCACTCTGATCTTCGTGGGCTCCAACCCGGGAAAGAGTTCTGCCCAGGGCTCCCCAAGGGGCCAAACATTCGACCTGCACCAACCCCTGGGAGACCCACCCTGCAGCTTCAGTGAGGCAGAGAAGTCTCCTGTCTTCTGCATAATGCCCTTCCCGGCGTTCTGCGTTGCCTGTTCCCACTCGGCCACCACCTTGAGCTTCACGGTGAAGGTTCCAATGATGGAATAGTTGTAATAGACCATAGCGTCTTCCGTCACCATCTGGGTGCTGTAAGGTGACAGGAGGGAGATGACAGAAGTGACTCATGTGGCCTCTTAGAGTCAGGGGTGTCTGTGGAGTGACAAGCTCGGCTACCAATGCCTTGTGAGCAAACCGGGCATCATCACAGCAGCCCCCCGAGCCGGCTGGGATGCAGGGTCAGCCATGCTTGGGTGAACTGGCTGCTGGTCATCTTTGAGCTTGTAAGTGACGGGTGGGAGAACTCCTAGCAGCAAAAGTGCCTGTCACCTGCCAGGAAGTGCTCTGCCCCCTTCTGCCAGGAATCTAAAAGAGGCCCTGCATTAGAGACAAAGACAATCCTGGGAGGGAAAAAATACACACTTTGGAGTTAAGACATACTTGGCTTTGAATCTCAGTTCTAGATTTCCTATCTATATAGCTCTAAGTCTTACTTTTTTCATCTGTAAAACAGAATAATATCTCTATCATAGGTTATTAATATCCTTTTTCCTGCAATTACTTGGCTTTGAATCTCAGTTCTAGATTTCCTATCTATATAGCTCTAAGTCTTACTTTTTTCATCTGTAAAACAGAATAATATCTCTATCATAGGTTATTAATATCATGCTTTTTCCTGCAATTATGTGAATTACTTCAAAAGGAAGTCTGATAACAATAAAGAAAATCTTTGTTGATTTCTCAATGCTCTTTACATATGAAGTTTAACAAACCTTTATCTATTAAATATCTTCCAAATACTTTCTAAACCCAGTTTAATGTTTGTCTTTTGGCTTGATTTACTTCTTTTTTGTTTGTTTGTTTGATTTACTTCTTCCATACCCAGATTTTAAATTTCATGAACTAAATCTAGCATTTTTTTCCTTTATAGTTTCTGCCTGTGTTTCTCTGTTCTTAGAAATGCTTTCCCCACTGCCAAATTATCCAATTGCAGGGGATCATCTACATTTCAATCTAGTCCTAATTCATTATGTTTAATTTTTCAATCTATCTGGAATTGCTTTTGTTATGGATCAGATTGTTTTTCTTCTAAATAGTTAACCAATTGCTCGAGTGCCATTTATTAAATAATCTATCTTTACTCACTGGCTAGAAATACCACTGTTACCATATACTAGGTGTGTATAAACTCAGGTTTGTGTCTGCCTTTTCTATTCTGTTCTGTTGTGCAGCCTTTTGTTGCTTGCTGCAAATTATTTGTGACTTCTTTTTTAAGATTTTACTTTTAAGTAATCGCTACACCCAATATGGAGCTCGAACTCACAACCCAGAGATTAAGAGTTGCATGCTCTACCAACTGAGCCAGCCAGGCGCCCCTATTTGTAGCTTTGAAAATACATTTATGTATGCATTTCTAGTTCTTCTCCTCATCCCCGCTCATCATCATTCTGTTTTTCTGATCTTCCTTCTGACAATATTGAGACATTCTCTCTTCATTTTTTAAGTCTTTTTAAGGTCTAGGTACAATCTGTGGTTTTATTCACATAAATCCTACCATTTGGGGCTAAGTTTATTCTCTCTGTTTTTATGTTTTATAACTATTGTAAACGATTTTTTTCTATTACCATTATATGGAAAGGCTATGAATCTTTGTTTTGTAACCGGCCATATCACTGAAATCTCTTTTTAGTTCTAAGATTTTTCAGTTGAGTCTTTTGTGTTTCCCAGGTCGTCTATGTGTTTGATGGTTTTTGTCTTCTTCCTTTACAGTATTTATATTTCTTTTTCTTGTCTTATTTCATGGGCTAGTCAAAAATGTTCTATTTTGGTAAAAATAGTGAATAAAGTATTTAATGTGAAAAGAAATGCCCCTAATTAGTATAGAGCCTGTCCCCTGGTTTGAGACACATGTTCCAGATGTTCTTTAGGTTGTAAAACCACATGTATGTTTATAAGGACATATATTTTTATACAGGTATATAGGCATATATGCTTTCATGCATGTGTATATATGTGCATACTTAAACACCAAATTTAGATGAACTGTAGAATCTTTGTCACATTCCAAAATTATACTTAATGGAATATATATTGGACTTGCATCAAGCTTACAGGATAACTGGAGGGAAATGGACATCTTTACAATACTAAGGTTCACCAGCCTGCACATGGTGTACAGAACACATCTACTCAAATCTTTAATACCTCTTAGTTGGGGCACCTGGGTGGCTCAGTCTGTTAAGTGTCTGCCTTCAGCTCCTGAGATCAAGCCCCACGTTGGGTTCTCTGCTCAGCAGAGAGTCTGCTTCTCCCTTTCCCTCTCACTCTGGGGTCTCTCTCTCAAATAAATAAAGTCTTTTTAAAAAATCTTTGATACCTCTTAGTAGCTCTATTTCTTCACACAGGATCTTGCCCATTTCCAGGTAAGTGTGTTCCTATGTTTATGTACTATTTTTGCTATAATTAGGAGTTCCCACTTTGTTTTCTAACTTATTACTATACATAAGAAAGCACACTGAGCCTGTAAGTCCCATGGGGGTGAGGAGTGATGCACGAGAAGGATTACTAAACCTTTGATGAGCTTGGAAAGTTAGTCTGTGTTTCTCTGCAAGCCTGAGACATGTCTTAAGGAATGCCAACAAATGGAAGGTGTAAACATATGCGATAGAGTAGGAAGGACCATCAGCCAGGGACTTGAAGGGACCCAAATGGAGTGAGGGGTCTCCGCAGAGTAGCACCCTCACAGGGGCTCGGGGTGTCTTCCCATAACTGGCTCACCACTGGTGCCCACGTACCCGACACTGGACACAGAGCAGGAGTGGCAGGAAGGTCTGGAGCAAGAGAGCGGGAGCAGGTGAGGGTGGGAAAGTACAGAGCACTCTGCGTGGGACGATGGGGCCACCAGACAAAGGCCAAAGCTTTGGGGCATCAGCGGGGAAGGACATACCCATCTCCGAAGTCCCAGTTGTAGAGAAATGAGGCCATCTTGAAGAAGTTGCTTGGGTCGTGGAGGAGGAAGGAAACTTTAAGGACTGTCTTGGTGAGGTAGGAGCTGGGCCAGGGCAGGGAGGTGTTCTGGGTGACAACGAGGTTCCCCACGAGGAGCTCTGGGAGAGAGACCATAGGCGGGTGAGTCCCCCCGAGGGGGCGGGAAGGAGGGGCCAGGGAGTGACCTCACATGCCAGCTGGCAGGACAGCCTCTCCCCACCCCCGACCTTCTGGCTGTCAGAGCTGAGTGGTGGCAGGAAGGGACCCTGCAGGTCACTGAACACAGAGGTGCACAGCCCCCACATCATTGCCCCTGCTGCATAGGACACTAGGACACTGGTGAAGACTCACGGCACACAGCACACACACGGCCTCGCTCCTACAGCACTTTCAACAGGATCCCGAACTTTCTGGCACAAAAGATGCCCAGGACCAGGAGGAAATGCATAGGCTTTGAAAGAAATTCCCTGGAGAGATTTCAGATTATTAGACGGGCCTGGAAAAAAATTAGCAGTTCTACTGATCACAGCTCTACACACAATGTGCTGGGCTGGGTAAGGACCACTGTTCTGTGTCTCCTTCTCTTAAAAAAAAAAAAAAATTTAGGAGCTGATTTCTTTCACCCCAAAAACAGAAAGTAAGGCGTGCTCAATAAAGCTCATTTGGAAAAATGCTGACACATAGGATGAAAAGAAACTGCCTGTCATTCAAATACAGCTATTGTTGATGTTTTGAAGAATTGCAAAGCATTTGTGTGTATGTATTTAATAGAAATGGACATTACATATACATATGTATGCATATTAAACACAGTTGAGCAAATTGGTTATAGAAGTTGTTTTGCTTTTTAAAGTTTTATAAGCAGGAGTATTCCCCCAGGACAGTACAAACTGTTTGTGAGGGTCATCATTATTCATCATACCAATTATATCCACATACTTAACCAGTCCCCTTATGGTTGCAAACTTAGCTTGTCTAATATTTTCTTCTGTGGTTATAAACACCACTGCCATGAAAATATTTGTGCATAAAACATTACCCAAATGGAAATTTACTTCCTGACGACAAATTCTTTAACAAATTGTATGTAAACTCCAAGAACTGTATGTAACAATTGTACGTAAACTCCGAGAGAGCAGGCACTTCCTGGAGGGGGAGAGGAGTGTTTGGGTGGGAGGCTGGAGGGACAAGAATGAACAGACCAGAGTCTGAAATAGTGCATAACCATTGAAACATTATCGATCAGCTCCTCTCCGGAGGGTTGTGTTAATTTATACCCCCAGTAGCAACATGTGCTTTACGTGTCCATTCCAGCACAACGCGCTGACCAGCATCGGGTAGTAACCATTTTCTGATCCTTTGTTTATACGATTACTAACCAGGCTGGATGGTTTTCTCTGCAGCAAGAGTCTGAAGGCCAATTAGCAAACAGAAAAGGTCCTCACCTGTGATGGGGAGGACAAGGAGGCTCCTCGCCACAGGCTGGCACGTCCAGCAGTCGGCAGCCGTGACCCAGACGGAGATGGGGAAGTCCCCGGGCACGGTCCCCACGGCACGGATGGTGGAGCTGAAAGCCTCGTCAGTCTTCCCCGTGAGCAGCAGTGGGGTATGGATCCAGTGGAAGCGGTAGAGGCGGGTGCTGGTGGGCAGGACCAGGCTGCCATTGTCACTGGCCACCAGGCTGGCTGTGATGGTCACCTCTGCCCCTGTGGTGGCAGGGCCATCGGTGGTGAGGTGCAGTTCATACAGCCCTGGGACCCCAGAGACAAAAGACTGTATTTCAGGAAAGGTGTGGTAAGGAACCCACTCTCACCCTCTGGGCTGGCTTCTATTATTCTATTTTATAAGTGGAGAAACTGAGGCCCAGGCAGCTCAAGTGACTAGCTGATTGTAAGCTGGGACTTGAACCCAGGCCCAACAGAGTCCAGAGATTTTCTTTTTAGGCCAGCCAAGCAGGGCCTTCCAGAGCACAGGCCTGACCTGGCCAGACTTATTTCTTAGCTATGAAAATGACTGCCAACGTATGTCATAGGAGGGATCACCTTGGCTGCTACCCCCCCCCAAATGTCCTCTATCACCTGTTCCTTCGGACTAGTCTTTCCATGTCAAACACAATTCTGATCTGAAACACAAAGCTGAGTCTGGAGCCTCTTAGAGGCCTAATGCCTAGACAGCAATGGAACAAGCCTCGGGCAAAGGTCCACTCTGATTCAAGCCAAGTCTTCTACACTGCCCAACACAGCTGTCACTGGCCACGGCCACGGCCACGGCCACGCGTGGCTGTGTAAGTTTCAGGTAAAATGAAACAAAATTTAAAACCCACTTTCTTAGCCACAGTAGCTGCATTTCTTTCTTTCTTTCTTTTTTAAAGATTTTATTTATTTGAGAGCGACAGCGCTGGAGAGAGCACAGGCGCGGAGCAGGGGGTGGGGTAGGGGCAAAGGGAGAGGGGGAAGCAGACTCCCCACAGAGCAGGGAGCCCGACGCAGGGCTCGATCCCAGGACCCCAAGATGATGACCTGAGCTGAAGGCAGACGCTTAACAGACTGAGCCACCCAGGCGCCCTGTGTAGCTGCATTTCAAGCGCTCAATAGCAAAGATACAGATTATCTTCAGTATCACAGGAGGTCCCACTGGATGGCACTGCTCACTGCTCTTAAATGACCTCCGTGATTCCTGCTGGGGCCAACGCTGAACTCTAGCTGGTCGACTCCTCAGGGAACTTGAACTGAAATATGGGAGATGCAGCTCTTACAGGGCACCCGAGAATCAGTCTTGGAGGATCCTAACAGAGAACAGGGCCTTGAGCATATGGGATGGAGGCCGGGTCAGAGGCCCTTTAAAATAACACTCCCCTCCCGACTGACTACTGCATGGAAGGTAAGACTAATTGTAACCTGAAAATAGAGAAAATAGAGAATTAAAACTTAAACAATTTTATTAAAAATAAAAGTAATCTGTAACAACCAGTGTTACCGTATATGGGCATTTCCTACTTTTAAAAAAAAAATCGTGCTTATACTTTGGAATTCTATATTCTATTGTTTTCAATTCCGTATCACGGGCATTTTCCTAAGTCATTATTCTTCAACTGCTTTACCATGTGCATAATATTTTATCATCTAAATAAAGTAAGATTTGGGCGCCTGGGTGGCTCAGTCGGTTGAGCGGCTGCCTTCGGCTCGGGTCATGATCCTGGAGTCCCGGGATTGAGTCCCGGGATTGAGTCCCGCGTCGGGCTCCCCGCTCAGCAGGGAGTCTGCTTCTCCTTCCAACCCTCCCCCCTCTCATGTGCGCTCTGTCTCTCATTCTCGCTCTCTCAAATAAATAAATAAAAATCTTAAAATAAATAAAGTAAGATTTTTAAAATAAGGTTTCTTTCATCACAAAAGTAATACATATGTATAAAGAATATCAGAAACGTCCCATCACCCTACTTCCAAAAAACAGCTGCAACCATACTGCTGTCCTCATGTCTCTTTTTCATGCATAGAATTTTTTAATTTAGACATAATCACACTCTTCACACAATTTTGAATTATTTTATTTTCACATGACAACACGTCAAAAGCATGTCCGTGGTCGCACTAATGTGAATTTCACCGTTGCTATGATAATCCCTCGAGCAGGTATATCTTTTTTTTTTTTTTTAAAGATTTTTGTTTTTAAGCAATCTCTACACCCAACGTGGGTTCAAACAACCCCGAGATCAAGAGTTGCATCCTCCACCGAATGAGCCAGCTGGGCACCCCTAATTTTTTTTTCAAGTAAACTCTACCCCCAATGTGGGGCTCAGACTCATGAGATCAAGAGTTGCACGCTCTACCAACTGAGCCAGACAGCACCCCAAGCAGGTATATTTTGATTCTCAGAACCCCTCACTCTTGCCAACAGCACTGCTGCACGTCTTGGTGACTATTTTGTTACAATTTGCATATTTCCTCTTCAGGTGAGATTTCTGAAGGGCTGCAGGTTAGAGAGTGTTCAGCCTGCAACAGCATACAGCTTCACCAGAAGAGGTGACACAGAAGGAAGGCTGGAGGGGCCCCAAGCCCCTGTCTGCTCATTTCCCTCATTCCCACCCACCTGCTCCCCTGGTTTCGAGTGCCTCCTAAATGCTGGCAGAACCAAGTAACCTAGACCTACTTTCTGGGCTCCAGATCTGCACTGAGCAAAAGAGGAGCTGCTAACCACATGTAATTATGTTTAAATGAATCAAAGTTAATTACTTAAATTGAACCAATACTAGAAATTCAGTTCAATTGAGCTAGCCACATTTCAAGTGCTTCATAGCCAGATGTGGTCAGTAGCTACTCTTCAGGGCAGGTATAGAATATTTCCTTCATCATCCAATGTTCTCCTGGACAGTGCTACTGGTCTAGGGTTCTCCCTTCCCCACACCTACCGTTTTCAGCCATTGCTCTCTGTTGGGGCCAGAGGGAGCAGCTGTCCCAGGAATCAATCAATCCCTAGGCCTTTGCCACTACTCCTCCCATCTGAGCGTGTTTGCTTGCTCCCCATCACTACTAGCATTGCTAAAGGCCAGCATTCAGCTATTACTACTTCGTCCTTGGCCCTGGCGCTCGGCCTGTGGTCCTCCCCTCTCTCAGCACCATCCACCTCTCTGCCCCCACCAACAGGGAGCTTCCTCCACAGCTAATGTGTTCACGGACCAGCCTCAGTGTGGAGTCGGAATTCACATCCACGCCGGGGCTGGCCACTTTAACTCTTGCAGCTCTCCCGACATGTTCTTTCCTTCCTAACCTCGGGGCCTTTGCACATGCTGTCCCCCCTGCCTTTCTCTACCTACTCGTCCATGGATATAACCTCTTCCAGGAAACCTTTCCTGAACGCCTTGCCCTCCTCAGTGCTCTCCAAACAGCCTGAGCACACAGTGGTCCCAACCGCACATCGGCATGAAGTTTTCTTTGTCTCCCTTGCTGCACCGCAAGCTCCTTGAGGGCAGGGGTCATTGTCGTCTCCCCATGTGCCCAACAAAGTGCTTGGCACATAGTAGGTGTTCAACACTGCTGCTGCCCAAGGCTCCTGGAGAGAAGAGTGTGGCAGAGGGACCAGCCCACCTAGCACTGCCCCCAAGGGACCGTTCACCCAGCTGATATTGACTGAGCCCCTTCCTTGTGCCCCACCCCACAAGTGCTGGGGGAACCCAGAAGTGTAGGACATGCCTCCTGTCCTCAGGGAGCTCGCCAGAGACCTGCTGGACTCAGCAAACCTGGGACAGGAGCAAGTGTGTCCTCAAATGTGTCCCATTCGCCTTGAGGCAGTGTTGCCTGTCCCTGCCGGGGACTCCTGCTCTACCCTCTCCCTTCGTCCACGTAACACACTCCCTGTTCGGAATCCCCTTCCCCAGAGCCATTATTTTGGAGTGTGAAGTCATTTGGACCGGCACTGACAAAGGGACCTGCAGTGTCTTAATCCCAAAGAGAGAATTCCAGATCCTATGGCAGAAATTTCTGCAAGAAAATCAGTGTGTATTTTACATTGAGGGACATGAGTCCCCTGAGGTCCCCATGCAACTACCTGGAGTCACCAAGCAAATCTGTACCCACCCCCCTCCCCTGGGCTGATTTCTATTCTCCCTCCCTTTGGCTGTGAGGCAGCATTTGGCCAGGAAAGAGAGGCCATCCCCTCCCTTCTCCCTCTTGCTCCCTCCCGTGTCCCCCCAGGCGAGGAGCGTGGGCCAGAGCGAGGCTAGCAGGTGGCAGGGACATTCGGCTGCATGCTAATGGCCATCCAGCATCTGCAGTGAGACTGGAGACAGGCGCATGTCAGCTCTACGCAGATCCGTTGCCAGGGGAATGGACTGGCTGGGAGGAGGGATGGGGTGGGATAGGGTGGGGGGGGAGGGGCTGTGGCTACAGCTAAGCTACGTTGCTGCAGACGCTGGCCCAGCTCCTGGGAGCCCCCACACCTGTCCAGACACAGGGAAGCTCTGAGGGCACTTTTCCTCCAGCTTTTTTTTTTCCCCCCAAGCAGATGTTTCACAGCCCCTGGGTAATGTTGCTTCTCTCTTCCTTAGGGCTCTCAGAAGTGTCCAGGGCATCCAAGCTAAAATAGACCGTGAAGGCTTTGCCACGTGTGGCTGAAGGAACCAAGCCCAGATCCTGTGGCCCTACCCATCCAAACCTCTCTTTCCAGGTTTGGGAGCCCAGGGGACATGGCCTTGGAGTACAGAGCAACAGCTAAGGGAGGGGCTTAGGGGGCTTCACGGGTGCACTGAGTGACCCAGAGCTGAAAGGGCCAAAGCAAAAGGCAAAATGGCAACTGCCACGAAGCCTGGCCCATGGAAGCAACACTCACTCACTAGCAGGCCCCGTGGGCTTCCCCTTGGAGCACATCTTCCCTGACAACACAGCATGTGGGACCCTGAACATTCTGGAAAATGGCTGAATCGGGTCTTTCACACTGCACATGTGGATAGCCCCAAACACTTCCCAAGGTACCTCCGGAGTCTGAACAACGTAACCTGGAATTAATGAATGGTCCAGCGCTTGGACTCTGACCTTCACTTCTAGTGTGGGAAGCATCGGGTGCAGGCTGACCCAGACCCCAGGAAGAATGGAAAGGGCTTCCAAGTCTCTGTTTTTTCCGTGTGTGTGAGGGAGAAGGTATGCTCCCCAACCTCATTTCCCAGCTTATCTTGATCATATCTTGAATAGGCCAGGCTGGGAACCAGACATGACTTCCAAAGAATTAATGTACTTTTTTTTTCTTTTTTGCAATTTAGGCCACGGTGATCATTTCCAGACACATGTAAATCCAATGGACAAGAGAGCCCCATCTCTACATGACATTTCCAGGAGGGAAGCAGGGAATCCTGACCAAGCATAATTCCCACAAAATTCTCCTAATCCATCCCTAAAACGCAGGTTTTTGTTTTACCTTTTGGATTCTTTCACAATTTGGCATTAGATCTCTTTCTCTCGCTACCATTCTTTGGGGGGGGGGTAGGGGCGTAATGAAAAATGTTGACTATTTAACACGCACATCACCAGAGCTGCCCACGTCCCACCTGTCCCCCAACTCTCCAACCCGGGTCCTTTTGTTGTCGCCAAAATGAGGCAGAAAGGTTGGTGCTGGCCTTCCGGCAGTGGGGAACAGTGGGGAAGTAGGGAGCATAGGAGCACGGCCCGGTGGGGCGGGGGGGGTGGTGGGGGGAGGCGGCACCCAGCAGCACCTGTCACCTCGGGGTCCATTTTGGAAAGACGAAATGGCAGACTGGCCTCTTGGGCTCTAAAATCGCAACCTCCCCGAAGCCAACACAAGCAGGGTGGAAAACCTCTCCGGATAAGACAACATTTAAAGGCAAAGACGCTGCTCCGCGGGCAACCTGTCCGCGCTCCCTGGGGGGCTGGGGCGTGATGACAGATCCCGCACATTCACGGTCTCCCCGCATCGTCCTCCCCGCCCCAGCCCCCAGCGGCTGCGAGGACCCCAGGCATCCGCACGGGTGCACCGGCAACCGCGCGCGGTTCCCAGGGCAGGGCCGATCTGGAGGTGGCAGCAGGAACCGAGGAGCGCGGGGGGCCCCTCGAGTGCCGGGCCGACTTCTGGGGAGCAGGATGCGGGTAGAGAAGAGGGGGCTTCGAGGCGCCGGCTGGCCACGCTCCCCTCCGCCGCGCGCTGCAGAGGCTGCCCCCGGAGGAGGGAGGTGTGCGCAGGGCGCACGGCTGGACCGCCCCGAGGCCCCGGGCGCGCTGCGGCTGGAGGGGGACGGGCGGCCGGCCCGCGCAGCGCCTTACCTGCGGCCACCCTAGCCGGGGCCAAGGGCAGGAGGCAGGCGAGCCAGAGGACGCGGCTGAGGCGCGGCCAGAGGGCCGAGGCCATGGCTGCGCCCGGAGCTGCAGGAGCGCCGGAGGGACGCGGCTGACTCGGCGGCTGCGGCCGCTCCTCCGGGCGCGAGGCGCGGGCTATGCGGGGAGGTGCGGGAGCGGCGCTCGCTCGTCCTCGCCTCGCGACGCTGTGTCGCTGCGTACCGCCGCCGCCCACAGCCCGCCGCGCCGACCCCGGCCCACGTCAGCCGCGCCGCGCCGCGCCGCGCCCCCTCCCCGCGTCCCTCCCTCCCCTCGCCTCACCCCTCCTTTCCCCACGAACCCCCGCCTCCTGGAGTCCGCGCTCCTGCAGTCTGCGCCGCCTCCCGCGCCCCCTCCCCTCCCCTCTTCTCTCCTCCCTCCCCTCTTCTCTCCTCCCTTTACCCCTCTTCTCCCCACGATCCTCCCCTCCCCTCCCTTCCCCTCCCCGGGTCTGCGCTCCTCCTGTCTGCGCCGCCTCCCCGCGTCCGCGCCCGCCGGCTCTGACTCAGCGTCCCCAGAGGCGCGCGCCCCGCTGCAAAGCCGCGCGCCCGCCCCTTTGGGTTCTTCTCCACTTGCCATTTCCCCTCTTGACGCACATGATTTGGAGATGCGGCTCCTCATTCACGTGGAGCCCCCACTGTGTGCCAGGCGCCGGGCCGAGGGACGGCAAACACCCCGTATCCCTCCTGAGGGAGGGGCTCAAGCACCTACGCTGAGACTCACGTCATTCCTCAGTTTACCCTCTCCGTCCCTGCCTTAAAACTGCTCACGCTCACAGTTGGGCCCATGGTGCCATCACTGTCACTGAGGGCTTTGTGAGACTCAGACAACCGGCAGTGAGGGGTGACCAGGCCCCTCCTGGCCTAGGCAGGCGCTTCCACCCGCCGTAATAGAGTGGAGCATGTCTTTCCTCCTAGAAGGTGGCTGTGTCTGTCCGGTCTTCAAGACTGGAAGCTGGCGGCCCGGATCCTTGTCCCACCTCTGCCTCTGTTTAACTCTACTTTGGACAAGGGATCCCACCTACAGGGAAGGAAGTCGGATGAACCCCTCGGGCCTGGTGGGCACGGATGGACCATGACTTGAATCCCATATGGGAGTGAAGACAACTACAGGTGTGGCCTCTGTCTCTGGGACAGCGGTGGCCTCCACTGAGGATGGGCTCACTGGCCACACTGCCATCTCACCCTAATGGAGGGGGAACAGATTTGAGTGAGCCCCCCTAGGAAAGTTGAAAGTGCTAGACAGGTGTCACGCACCCCTGCCCCAGTAGCCTCAATCACCATCGTGGGGACAATACCAGGCCTAGAAAGCAGGAGACTTTGGATTCTCCCTGAGAGTTATGTGACCTTGGGAAAGTCACTTTCCTTTATCTTTAAAATGGAAGTAGTTCCTGCCCTATGAGACTGTAGCCAGGACAAAATGAGTTAATACATAGAACAGTGCTTTGGACGTTGCATTCTATCGGTATTGGCTGTCATCATTGGAATTGCTTACAGACCTGGGAGAGTTTTGCTTGTCCATCAGGAATTGAGGAGAAAACTGTGGTTGAAAAAAAAAAAGTATGTTAAGGTTATAAGCCGAGTTTCAAATATTTAACTGACATTATTCAAAGGTCTGGTTATTAGTGGCTTTTAAAACAAACTAAATGCAGGAGCACCTGCTAGCTCAGTGGGTGGAGCACGTGACTCGACCTCATCAGGGCTGTTAAGGTTGAGCCCCATGCTGGTGTAGAGATTACTTAAAGAGTAAAATCTAAAAAAAATTGTTTTAGGGGCACCTGGGTGGCTTAGTCGGTTAAGCATCTGCCTTCGGCTCAGGTCATGATCTCAGAGACCTGCGATGGGCTCCCTGCTCAGTGGGGTGTCTGCTTCTCCCTCTGCCCCTCCCCCAGCTCATGCGCACGCGCTTCTCTCTCTCTCAAATAAATAAAATCTTTATTTTTTTATTTGTTTGACAGAGAGAGACACGGCGAGAGAGGGAACACAAGCAGGGAGAGGGTGAAAGGGAGAAGCAGGCTTCCCAAAGAGCACGGAGCCCGATGCAGGGCTCGATCCCAGGACCCTGGGATCGTGACCTGAGCCTAAGGCAGACGCTTAACGACTGAGCTACTCAGGCACCCCTCAAATAAATAAAATCTTCAAAAAATTTTTTAAAAATTGAACTAAATGCGGAAAACAAAATAATAAGATTTTGTTTTTTTACGTGTCACTTGATTGCATTGAATAATAATTTTACAGTAGTCACAGATAGTCTTATCTATGTCACAGAAGCCACTGCAAAGGCCACCCTGAAACTGATGTTCAGATTACGAGGTTATTGGGGAGTATTTTGAGTATTTCCCCTGGTGAAATTATTACAGTATTACAGTATTATGAGATAGTGAATGGGGGTGGTGGTGGAAGGAACAGTGGTTTTCTTACATTGGGCTTTAAGAAAGTTGTCTCTGAGGAGGTGACATTTGAGATCATCAAGGTGAGGAGTCAGTTGTGTGCCTCTGAGGAAAGAACATTCCAGAGGTCCTAGCTGGGCATGAGGCACAGCAAGGCCACTCCAGCTAGAACATCAAGAGTGAGGTTGGGAGGTACATAGGGCCAGGAAATGAGGATGAGCTGAAGTCTTCGGAGGGTTTTAGGCAGAGGAGGGGCGTAATCTAATTTACCTGATAGGGATGGAGTTGACACTGTCTCTAACCTCTAGTTCAGGAGATGGACAAGAAAACAGGCAAAAATCGTAATAGTTTGTTGGGTACTTGGTTAGGAGAAGCTAGGGCCGTGGGAAGTGCAGGGAATCAGCCAGTATTAGAGCTGGGCTTAACTATAAGACTTTAGCCTGTGCAATTAATCTGAAACTTATCAAAAGATTTATCTATCTCCTGCTTTCTTTTCCACCCCCTTCCCACCAAACAATATGAAACAATAACTGTCTGCACACTGATTTCAGCCCTCAGATTATTAAACCTTCCCCAACTTTGGACCTATTACTTTCGGGGGGGGGGTGGTTAGGAGTAGAGAGGATTTTGCTTGCAAGAAATTTTTCCATGGGGGAAAAGGTATTCTGACCCATTTTATTTCTCCCAGGGCAGAAATAAGTGACACTAAATACATTCATATAAATTCCCAGCAGTTCAACAGAGGGTTGTTCTTGAGTGGCAACATTTTTAAACAAGTAAGGAGCATGCTTCTGAATAAGGCACCTTTCTTCCGAGATACGTTGCAGGTACTGCAAGTTGCATTTATTACAAAGTGTGAAATGTATCTGTCTGGGAAGGGAACACAAAGACTTTGGTAATTTAGTGATGATGGGGGAGGGGGGTGAGATATTGTCAGGAAAGGGGAGGAGGTGGAGCCAGGTCCTGGAGGTGGGGGAGAGAGGTCATCACCTTATTGCTCTGTCCATCTAACATGGTAACCATGGGTAACCCGGAGCCGCTCACTATTCAACCACTCTTCTAGATGGAGTCGTAGGTGAGGTCCGAGAGTACTTTTTCCTTCTAAGGCGTCTTGATCCTGCCCACACCATCTCACTTGGGCATCAGGGCGTTCTGCCCCACTCCCCCTCCTTCTCATCACTGCCCCACCAGGTAGGAGCTGACAGAGATCGTCTGTGGTCCAGCCTCTGGGTGATGTAGCTGCGGAGCAAATGAGCAGGCCCACCACCTCCGAGCAGAACACCCGGGCTTTCCTTTGCTTGCAGGGTCTCGTTGTCTGTCTCTGCCCTCGCCTTCCCAAGGCCCCTGCTTGCCTCCTCCCCTTTCGAATGGTTAAGAATGACCCCAGGAAGGGAGGAGGGAGGAAACCCCGCCCGGCCTGCCACATTCAGTTCAGGGATGGACTCTTCCCTGGCCCCGACTGCCGCCTGCTAAGGGAGCCCCTCGGGTGCCCACCCCCCTACAGCAGCCCCCGCTGTCCCTACCCTCCCCTTCCCAGGCCTGGCTCCCGCGCGCATATTTAGGGCAGAAGGGGCCCAAAGACTACCGGCACCTGCGGGCCTCTCCAACCTTGAGGGCGGCCCCGCCCACTAGGCGGAGGTTTAAAGGGCCGGGCGGGCCCACCCGGGAGCAACGCCCCTCCCCGCTCCCGCCGCCCGCCCAGGCCGCACCCACTTGGGGGCGGTGCGCCCGGACCTATTTCTCCCGCGGCGGGCGCAGCCGCTTTAAGTGGGGGCGGGACTGCACGGCGGCGGTGGCGGCGGCCAGGGCTTCGCTGGGGGTCGCGGGCTGGGTCTGCAGGAGGCCGGCCGCCGAGATCGGGGTAAGCGCGGGCAGGCGCGGGAGGGCGGCGGAACGGCCCCGGGAGGTGCGCGCGGAGGCCCGGACCGGTGCGGCGGGGTCCGGCGTGGGGAGGCCTCTGCGGCGCGGCGGCTCTGCTCAGCAATAGAGGTAGGCTCTGTGTGCCCGGTCCCCAGGCCCGCCCCTCCCGGCCCCCATGGGTGTCCAGCCCGGCAGGCTGGAGCCGGCGGCCGCCCTGTAGTCTCCGGCTGCTTGGCCGCGCTGGGGAGCTCTGGGAGGCGGAGGGCTAGCGGCGCGAGAATTGGCCCTCGGCGCTCGCCGTACCACGGCCTGGAGGGCGGACGCTGGGTGTCCGGAGACGGCGACAAAAGGAGGGAAGCGGAGAGCCGTTTGAGACCGCGGAGAGAGAGCGTGGGGTTGGGCCCCGGTTCCCCCAGAAGCGCCCGCAGGCCAGCCTGGCACCTCCCGGCCTCCACGCAGGCCCCTGGCTCGCCCGACCCGGCGCGGAGAGCGAAGGTAGCGGCGAAGACAGCGCCCCCTCTGGCCCGGCGGCGCCGCCTCAGGCTCGGCGCGGCGGGGCGGGGCGGTGGGGCCGTTTGTCCGTGCGCGGGCGCGGCGCCGGCTCCGGCCTTCCCACCTGGGCCGGGACGCGGGGGCCCGACGGAGGCCAGGCCCAGGCCCTCGGCCCCCGGCGTCTTCGAGTCGCTCTCCCACGGATAGCCGCGGTGGGCCGTTTTCCCTCCTCAGCCACCCCCTCCCCCCCCGGCCTGGCAGGACGCGGGGCCTGGCCTCTTGGGGCCCCGGGGAATGGAAGAGTGGAAGACTTTGGTGAAAGAGGGGGTTCAAGCTTTTAAGGAGTTTGGGCACGACCACAAGTTTCGTAGGCACGGAGATGCCATGACCCTGATTCTTGGGTCCCCAGGGATGGGGGGCATTCGTGTTTGGAGGAGGGCGTGTGACCTGAAAGAGGAAGCAGTAGTCAGGTCATCCAGCGGGGCTGACAGAGTCCCCCTCTTCAGTCTCAGGGAGTTTTCCTGCTCTGAGCCGGAGGAGTGCGACAGAGCAGCAGTCGGCGGCTTCTCTGCATCGGAGAAGTGCTTTGGTGTCTTGAAGAGAGTGGCCCGAAGAGACTTTGTGGAGTCAGGGGGTCCCCATCACTCGGGGCAGCAGTGTGAGCTGCTAGGAAGGGCTTCCGGTAGGGAGGGCTTTTGAAAGGTCTGCAGAAAGAAGGAGAAAATTAAGTCATGAAGCTGCCTCTTGATGCAGAGTGGAATTAAGCGGTTATATATACAGGGAAGTTGTGTAAAAGCAAATTCACCAGGTTCTCAAGAACATTTTGTGAGTGCTCTTAAAACAAAAACCAGGTCTCTCTCTATGTAGGTGTCAGCCTGGAGAGGTAATTCTTCCTGTGGTCATCAACAACCTGGAGCATTTATTCATTCATTCCTTCAAGCAGCGTTTTCTAAGTGCCTACTTTGGGCTAGCTGCAAGCAAAACTTACAGCTTCCTGGGCCCCTTACTGAACCACAGCCTCTGGGTAGCGCTTGGAGGCTCACCTTTGGCACCTGGTGATCTTCGTGCACACTGAAGTTTGAGAACCAGTCACCTAGGGTAGAGGTTGACCAATCCAGTCAGCTGCCTGTTTTTTGTTGTTTTTTATTTATCTATTTATTTTATTTTTTTAAAGATTTTATTTATTTATTTGAGAGAGAGAGAATGAGAGATAGCACGAGAGGGAAGAGGGTCAGAGGGAGAAGCAGACTCCCCGCTGAGCAGGGAGCCCGATGTGGGACTCGATCCCGGGACTCCAGGATCATGACCTGAGCCGAAGGCAGTCGCTTAACCAACTGAGCCACCCAGGCGCCCTTTTGTTGTTGTTTTAAGATTTTTATTTTTAAGTAACCTCTACACCCAACGTGGGGCTGGAACTTAAAACCCCGAGACGAAGAGTTGCATCCGCAGATTGAGCCTGCTGGGCGCCCCTCAGCTGCCTGTTTTTATTTTTTATTTATTTATTTATTTATTTATTTTTAAAGATTTTATTTATTTGAGACAGAGAGAATGAGAGAGAGAGAGAGCACATGAGAGGGGGGAGGGTCAGAGGGAGAAGCAGACTCCCTGCCGAGCAGGGAGCCTGATGCGGGACTCGATGCAGGGACTCCAGGATCATGACCTGAGCCAAAGGCAGTTGCTTAACCAACTGAGCCACCCAGGCGCCCCCAGCTGCCTGTTTTTATACAGCCCACGAACTAAGAATTTTTACGTTTTTAAATGGTTGAGAAAAAGTTGAAAGAAGAGTAATGTTTCATGACATTTGAGAATTACATGAAGTTCAAATTTCAGTGTCCGTAAATACAGTTCTATGGATCACAGCCATGTTCTTTCATTTATGTGTGGTCTGTGGCTGTTTTCTGGCTGTAACACAGCTGAGTGGTTGTGATAGAGACCACAAAGGCTGAAATATTTACTGTCTGGCTTACAGAGAATTTGCCCCTCTGGCCTAGGGATAAAAGGATTTACAATAAGGGGGGGAAGCCTTCGTTTATAAAAAATAATGTTTAGAAATTAATAGGAAAAATGGATGCAAGTAAATTTTACTTCCAAAAAAGCAGAGGGAATAGTATTGTGGGTTAATTAAAAAGTATTTAGCTTAATACAGTCATTTAGGTAAGATTTTCATAGAGACGGTGAGCCTGTGCCTTCAATAAGTTGGCTAACCATACGCTTCTTTTCATAGGCTGGGTGAACTCATGGACCTGATACTTTTCTCTTGAGAAACAAACCAACTCAAAAAAAAAAAAAAATGGCATTTGTTGCAACACAGGGGGCCACGGTGGTTGACCAAACCACTCTGATGAAAAAATACCTTCAGTTTGTGGCAGCTCTCACGGATGTAAATACACGTGAGTTGATCCTTCTTGTTATTAAGAAATGCATTTTTGTGACTCATTGATCTCAGTTCAAATGATGTGCACATTGAGATGAACAGCAATATTAACTCTTACCCTAATTTTACCATCCTCTGCCTTGTGGAGAAGCAAAGTGATGAGCGTTACTAGCTGGAGCCCCAAAGAGGCACGTGTGTGTGTGTGTGTGTGTGTGTGTGTGTGTATCCTTGTTTGAGCGTGCACGCATACACCTGGGAGTGTGAATGTGTATGACTGGTTGTAGGGAACTAGTTATGTGCCTTCTGTTGGACCATGACAGTCAAACTGATAAGATCTGATTGCTTCTCTTACTAAATCCAATAATTTTATGAAGATCCTTAACATAATTTCAATTACCTGATGACTTGTCTTGTCATTTACAGCTGATGAAACAAAGTTAAAAATGATGCAAGAAGTTAGTGAAAATTTTGAGGTATGAGCTTAATATATTTTTTTTCGTTGTGAGGTAAATAATCACACGTACTTTCCAGTCGCTTCTCTGTGAGTCTTACTAGTGAGTCACAAATCGTTCTCTCTGTTAATGTGATTTATTGTATTTCAGAACTGAAATTTGATGTGTGCAGCGTTGTCCAACTTCTTCACACTAGTGACCGTGAACTTCAAGTGACGTTGAGGGATGTTGCTTTGGTTTTGGTGGTTAAACTTTTTTCCGTTTTGAGGCATAAACTTTCAGGATGCACTCAGACTTACATTGCAGATTCATTACTTTCATGTAATAGAGGGTGTGTTACTGTGGACTGAGAGCACTTGCGTGACCTTGAGCAGTTCCTCTCTTCTGAGCCTCACATTCCTGGTGTCCTATGGGTCCTTGGGCTCTGTTCACTTTTCTTCAGTCTTCCCTTTTTTCTCTGGATCGGATGATTTCTATTATCTGTCTTCAGGTTTGCTCACTGTTTCTGTGTCCTCTCCAGTTGGCTGAGAGGTTTTAAAAGTTTCAGTTTACTTTTTACATTTTTTTGTTTCAGTTCTTATACTTTCAGTTTTGGAGTTTCCATTTGGTTCTTCTTTCAGATTTCCCTTCTTCACAGAGATTATCATCGTGTATCAGTACCATCTTGTTGTTATTCTTGGACCATTTTATAATGACTGCATTTAAGTCTTTGCTAAATCCAACATTTGGACTAGATGAGAATTTCTACTGACTGTGGGTCACATTATCCTGCTTCTTGCATTGTCTAGTAGTTTTTGATAATGTGGCGAATACTGTATGTGAAGTATAGGGACTTCTGTTATCTCCCTCTGAAGAGTACTGATATTTTGATTGTGATAGGCAGTTCAGTTCCTAGCTGACCTCCTCGAACGTGCGTAGGCTTGGTTTTATGCTGTGGCATGGAGGATCCGTGGGAAGGCTAAGGTGTTCCCCAGGTCTCTCTAATTTGGCCAGCTTCAACCTCCAAACTCCAGCTCCCATGGATATCATCAGAGGTTGATTTTAGCCTTGGCTTGTTTTAGAGGTCTAGAATAGCCTTTCCTCTAGGGCATGGTCCTTCCTCAGCAGGATGTCTGGGATGTTAAAGAGGTGGTAGGAAAGTGTTGGCACTGTGCCCAGGCTGGAACCCCACCATCCTCCAACATTGCTGGACCTTTGATACCTCTTGAGCTCTCTCAATCCCGAAGCCGTCACTGTCTGGTAAGCTTCAGGTGGTCTTACCTCATCTTACTTATACGTGCAGTCCAGTCCTCAGTCAGGGTCTCAGAGAAGACCATCTGCTATAGTTCCTGTTTCTCTGGGGCTCTGCTTTGCAGATTCTGGCCACCTGAACTGCTCAGAACTTGTGTTTGCTCCTCACTTCAGTAGGACCATCCTGCTCTCCTTGGGTGCCAGCCTGCTGAGCTCCGGTCAGGACATGTGTACACAGGCTGAGAGCCACGGTGGTCATTATAATCTCCCCTCCTAGAGGCTGTGGTCTAGCCCTGCCTCTTGTCCAGCACCTGAAAACTGTTCCCTGGTTTTTTGTCCAACTTCATGGTTAGTTTCATGCTGTTAGTTTCATAGGCAGGAGAGAAAGTCACATTTCTTTTTTTCTTTTTTTTTTTTTTTAAAGTAGGGATAATAAAACATTTCTCAGTTAATGTGATTTAAGAACAACAGATAAAATGTTTTTAGCTTCTGGCATGGTCATTTGAATTACAAAGGATCAAATAAATGCTAATGGGACTGAATCAGTGCCCTACTCTCTGTAGCACTGGGTAGTATTTCCGTTTGGTGGGAGGTTTTTTTGGTGGTTTTATTTTAAGTAGACGTTTTTAAGGACTTGTTGCCTTGAACTGAGCTGGGAAAAAAGTCCTGAGATATTTAGAGATTGAGCTAAAGAGCTTTCTCTTCTGCCCAAGCTGGTAATGCAAGCTGTTTAAAAAAAAAAAAACAAACCCAAAAAACAAAAAAGCTAAAAAAAGAGGTGGGAGGCAGGACATGATGGGCCTGCATTCTGTGTTTTTGGAAGAACTGCTCAGTGAGAACCATAGCCCCAGCGGCTTTGAGAGGGTGGAGTCATGGGGGAGCTGGTGAGCCCGCAGAAAGCACGCGTGTGTCCGGCCTCTGAGTGTGGGCACTAAGTATCCCACCCCTTTCTCGCCTGTCCTGTCTGGCAGTTAGCAAGTTAATTTCTGACTTTGGTCACAGACACATTGATTAAATTCACAGAACTAAAAGGCAGTGAAGCAGTAAGTGTACTTGGGGCTTTCGAAAATCGTGACTTTGGAAATCCGTATGTTAGAAACGTTAGAATTAATCTGAAATTCAGATTAGAATTAATAAAGAATTAAATACTAGAATGACTCTCCATAGGTAATTCTAAATTACCACCACTACCACCCCAGAAAAATATCAGAATGAGCTGAGTGAGATTAAAAAAAAAAAACCCAGTGGTTTCAGGAGTCTTAGAAACACATTTCACTAAGCATTTAGGAATAAAATTGTGGGCTAGGTAAAGGTTCTATGGGCCATCTTTCGGGACAGGATATAAAGGAACCTTCAAGTTAGAACACATGAAAAATTCATATGGATCAGAAAGCTGGGGGCTGAGTTGAAAGAAATCCTGGCAGAATAACCGGGCAACTTGTTGAATGAATCTTTTTTATCGGAGGAATTTGAAACTCTGTTTTGAAAACTATGGAAGCAGCGGTTGGTATGGGCTTATGTGCAGTTGAGCTTGATTTCTTGGCAACCTTGGTAATCTTCCAGTGGAAATCTTCTTCCTTGAATCCTTGAATGTGGGTATTTTGTAAAAAGTCTTAAGCTTTGGGGCTGAAAGGTGACACGCATGGTTCCCACCCCCGGTGACTTCCCAGCCTGCTTGGGGAGAGGCTGGGAGGTACCTGAGGGCTTCTCCCACAGTGTTCTGTGTGAATGGAGCCCTGGGTTGGGCCGGGGAGCCTGGTGCTCAGGCACACATTCCAAGAATCACACGATTTTCTTTCCTGGCTCCCGTGGCAACACTTTTCTGGTTTTCATCTGTTTCTCTGTCTCTTCCTTCATAGACTCCTCTTCCAAGATTACCGTATAATGGTAGACAACCCCACGTCTATCTTCAGCTCAGATCAGTGTCTGGAGTTTCAGATACTTCTATTTAATTAACTGCCCAGATGCCTCCTCTCAAGGGCTTGTCAGGCTCACGATAGTAACAGTTGAACCCCTTGCTCTCGTGCTCCCATCCCCTGCCGTGCTGACGAGTTTTAGTGCCTTTTACATCCATGCTTTCTCATAATTTTGTGCCTTTGCATAGGCTTCTCTTAAGAAGCTTCTTCTTTTCTACTTTCTCACATGGTTAACTCCTGCTGGCCTTTTAAGTTTTAGTGTAAACATCCCTTCTTGAGGAAGGCGCTCTCTGCCCTTGGTTCCATCCAGTGCATTGTGTTCCCTTAGTTGCCAGTGTTTCCTCCATTGTAATTCTGTATTGTTCTTTTTTTTTAAAGATTTTATTTATTTGACAGAGAGAGACACAGCGAGAGAAGGAACACAAGCAGGGGGAGTGGGAGAGGGAGAAGCAGGCTTCCCGCGGAGCAGGGAGCCCGATGCGGGGCTCGATCCCAGGACCCCGGGACCATGACCTGAGCCGAAGGCAGCTGCTTAATGACTTGTTCTTTTCTTTAATCTGTCTTCCCAGCACATGACTGCCTCCCCCATCTCCGAGGGCATGAATTGTATCTGCTTTCCTTTTTTTTTTTTTTTAAAGAGAGAGGAAGTGCACGTGGGCAAGCACAAGCGAGCGGGGAGAGGGGGCAGAGGGAGAGAGAGAGTCCCAAGCAGATTCCCCACTGAGCGCGGAGCCTGGCACGGGGCTCAGTCTCACGACCCTGAGATCGTGACCTGAGCCAAAGCCAAGAGTCAGACGCTCAGCCGACTGAGCCACCGGGTGCCCCTCTATTTTCTTCGTCTTAGCCCCGCTGAGCACATGATAGAGCCTCAGTGACTATTTGTTGAATGGGCAAGTGAGGCCTTAATAGGGGAAAGAACTTGGCTGTTAAAGACTCAATTTCGGAACACTTCTAAGCTTATGAACTGATAATTCAGCAAGTTTTATAACCTCTCTGAGCCTCTTTACCTGTGACTTAACACTTACCTTAGGCTCTCGAGGACGGAGTGAGAACGAGTAAAACACACAGCTCGGTATTCAGCCCACAGGTGCTCTGGTGATAACCCCAGATGACATTAGTGAGCATTTACCGTAGAGCATTCACTATGTCCTAAATTAACTCATGTAATCTTTTTTTTTTTGCCTTTTTATTTTTTTTAATTTTTATTATGTTAATCACCATACATTACATCATTAACTCATGTAATCTTTACGTGATTCCATAAGGTGGGAAATAATATGACAGTCAACAGGTGGGGCGCTGAGGCACAGAGGCTAGGTTACTGCTCAAGGTTCCTACTTCCTAAGCAGGATCCAGAAACTGCTTTGGAGTCATTTTACCGCACTGTCTCCAGACCAGAGGTTCGTTTCCCTTTCTCCTTTTAAAGTCAGCGCTGGGGGTGCCTGGGTGGCTCAGTCGTTAAGCGTCTGCCTTCGGCTTAGGTCATGATCCCGGGTTCCTGGGATCGAGCCCTGCATCAGGCTCCCTGCTCCGCGGGAAGCCTGCTTCTCCCTCTCCCACTCCCCCTGCTTGTGTTCCCTCTCTCACTCTCTCTCTCTCTCTGTCAAATAAATAAAAATCGTAAAAAAAAAAAAAACAGCGCTGGGATTAATAATAGATGAGGTTAGATTATCATCTAATTAATATAGATCTGACCAATAAATTAGCTTTTCAGATTAGAAAAAGGTGCCAGTTTGTTGAGGCACTTCATTTTCTACTTGAAGAAGCTAAGATCTAGAAGCTAAATGATTTTGCAGAGGTCTCATGCTTAGGTTGTGGTAGAGTCTCTAGAACAGGTGCCAGATTTCATATTTTCCCTAGCATTAGTATTTCTACTTTTTTTTTTTTTAAAGATTTTATTTATTTATTTGACAAAGAGAGACACAGTGAGAGAGGGAGCACAAGCAGGGGGAGTGGGAGAGGGAGAAGCAGGCTTCCTGCAGAGCAGGGAGCCCGATGCGGGGCTCGATCCCAGGACCCTGAGATCATGACCTGAGCCGAAGGCAGACGCTTAACAACTGAGCCACCCAGGCGCCCCAGTATTTCTACTTTTAACAGTAAATTTTAACATCTACTTTATATCTTAAATTGGATTTCAGAAGCAGTGATCCTTTTACTTAAAACTATGTTACCACTGAAGGTTCTAAAAGCATTAAAAATTACTGTTGGCTTCGCTAAAATGTTTTATATTGTCTTGAGATTATAATATAGTGAATTTGAAAGGGAAGTATATACACAAACTTAATGGGGTTTTCTTTTATTTTTGCATAATTAGAATGTAACGTCATCTCCTCAATATTCTACGTTCCTGGAACATATCATCCCTCGATTTCTCACATTTCTTCAAGATGGAGAAGTTCAGTTTCTCCAGGAGAAACCAGCCCAGGTAATCTGTTGAGAAATATCAGTGGGGGGAGGGCGGGGGGGAGGAATGTCATGCTGTAAGATCGCAAACATTTATGAATTAAAACACCTGAGAAAATTTAGGGTTCCACTTTAAAATAGGATTTTGTCATGTAAGGATGACTCTGTCCCCGACCATGCCTCCTCAGTTAAGGTTTTAATTTAAGTCATTCACATTTGCCAGCTGATGACATGTGTGTACACTGAGTTCAAATATCCACAGAATGAGGGAATGACCCTTTAGTGACCCTCTCCATACCCAGTGCCCGCCTCTGCTCTTCTACTGTCAGTTCTCGTAACTTCTGACCAGTTTTATCTGAACCCCTACCCACTCTTTGCACCCCCTTCCCCACTTTGATCGTTTTAAGAGTCTTATCAATTTTTTCTATAACTATTTCAGCGTGTTTCTTAAAAATAAGTCTTTAAAAATTACCATAATGCCAGTGAAAGTTATTGCCAAATAAAGTTATTGCCAAATTTTTATGTTGTACCGCTCAAAGGCCTACCACCTTTCAGTTGTCGGCTCCGTAGACCGAATCCTGAAAGCTTAGTCAACTTGTGGTGTAATCAGTTGTTGGAGAGAGGATTGTAGAAACCAAACCTGTGTTGGAGGGAGATCCCAAACCAAGTTCAGTTTGTGTTGTGCTCTTTCATGTGAAATCCACCAGACATTCACACACTGGTGCCCTTCCCCTGAAAATAATGATTAGTTGTGAAAGAGGGAAAGTTTGGCTTGCTTGATTTGGTGCACAACTATAGAAATCTTGAATGGTTTGTGGTACATACTTGGGATTATGTTTTAGTAATTTACAGGATTATTTCTGAAATGGGGTCTGTCTTGTAGTTTGGCGGTTCCCCCTGCTGGGTGCAGATAGCCATGTAACTTACAGACTGAAAGGATTATTTGGGACTTTTGGGAGGATTTGATATTTACATTTTTTATTTTTCCTCACCAGCAACTGAGGAAGCTAGTACTTGAAATAATTCACAGGATACCAACCAACGAACATCTTCGTCCTCATACAAAAAATGTTCTGTCTGTGATGTTTCGCTTTTTAGAGGTAATCTTTGGGAATTCTTGTTATTTAGCCATATCTAGATTGTCGGTGGTTTTCTTACTGTGGAATCTGGTATTGCACAACTACTTCTCTTTCACTAAAGTTCTGATTCACTTGAGTAAAAATTTTCTTAATGTCCGTTTCCCCCCCCATTTTGCTGACCAAATTACTAAGAAATATTAATTGAAGATTTCTTTGTTTTGAGTCAACAGGGAATTGACTAGTCATGGTGGAAATCTTTGGAAAGGGCTGGGCTGACAAACTCAGTGCAAGGCTCTTTGGCTTTGTGCTGCTTTAGGCACAGTAGATGCTCATAAAGAGTTTCTCAAACGCTTCAGGTGAACCCACCTGGTACTTGCCTGTTACTTTGGCCTCTAAATTGTTTTCCTGTTGTTCTTAGTCTCGATATGTTTAGAATTCTGTTGTGTTTCTGGGCCCCTTGGAAGGATGAGCTTTGGAGGGGATAGAGCTGGATTCAGATCCCGGCTCTGCCGTGTGTTAACTGTATCATGTTAGCCGTGTGGCTTACCTTCTATGAGTCCTAACTTCCCGTGGGTAAAGTGTGGAAGACACCCCATTCCAAGAACGTAAAGTGTTTAGCAGATGGTCCAATAAAAACATGGTGGGTTTTTTTGACAGTATTTTCAAGTGATGAAGAAGTGTCACTTGGACCATTAAGACCTTCGCTTATGGTGTGACTTGCCTTAAGTGCCAGTTTTTCATCTGTCAGAGTACTACTTTCCAGAGCTTACTGGCAGGATGCCCTTCCCATGGTCCACCAAAGACCTCCAGAGCTTCTTATCTGAGATAATTATGTTCTCTGTTCTGTGTTCAACAAATCAAATCTGAGTTGGCTGATGCAGGGTGTGTATAACAGGAAAATGCTTGGAAGATAGTCTATAATCTTTAAAGTAATCTCAGAAATAGAACTCTTTTTTAAATGCTTTTTTTTTTTTTTTAGACGGAAAATGAAGAGAATGTTCTTATTTGTCTAAGAATAATCATTGAGCTCCACAAACAGTTCAGGCCGCCCATCACACAAGAAGTAAGTGTTTATCCGGATAGCATTTATAAAAGTGTGTCAACAGGTTTTTTTCCGCCTTGTGGTTTATTTACTCTCTTAGAATTGACGGGACACGTGCTATTTTCAAGAAAAGGATAGCCTAAGTTTGGGGGAAATTCTTGATGGGTTTCACAGTGACTTTTTTCTTGTTAATGTTTACATGAGTGTTTGGCTGAATTTGTACATTCGTTGAAATGTGGTAAACTGCCAGACTGGCAGGGCTGTTTGGGTAATTCTGGTATGTACAGGTCTGGTGTGCTAGAGGGCTCCAGTCATTTTATGCTGTGTGGTGGTTTAAGATGTGTGTCCTGAAGTCAGAACTGGGTTGGAGTCTCAGCCCTCTAATTAGTAGGTATTGACATTGGTAAGCGCCTAGGCTTTTGGAGCCTTTTCCATAAAATGAGGATTCTCACAGGACATATCCTCCACAGGTTGCTTGAAGAATTAAAAAAGTTTTTTTTTTAAACATATAATTACAATGTGTATATTCTGGCAAACATACCCTCCCACAAAATGCCTGTTTTTTTATACTCATTCTTTATTGGTTCAAGTTAGATGTAAAAGAGTTCATAGTGGGCAGTAACCATGTTCGTATCATGAGAGTGGAAAATCAGTCAAAAATCAGGTTTTCTTTTCTTTCTTTTTTTTAAAATTTTTTATTGTTATGTTAATCACCATACATTACATCATTAGTTTTGTGTATAACACCCAGTGCTCCACGCAGAACGTGCCCTCTTTAATCCCCATCACCAGGCTAACCCATTCCCCCACCCCCCTCCCCTCTAGAACCCTCAGTTTGTTTCTCAGAGTCCATCTTCTCTCATGGTTCATCTCCCCCTCCGATTTA